TTTTTTTGATGACGTGGCAAAAACAAATTGAAAACATGTTAAACGTGGAATTTTTTTTATGCCAACTCAATTATTACTATTTATATTTTTAAAAAATAAAATAAAATAATTCCTTAATCTTCTTCTTTTCTCTTTTTCTTTTTTTTCTTCCTCTTCTTTCTTCTTTCTTCCTCTTCTTTCTTCTTTCTTCTTCCTCTTCTTCCTCGGGTTCCATCGAACCCTCTGCTGGGTTTGGTGGAACCCAGCACTGGGTTCGGTGGAACCCAGTGCTGGGTCGAACCGAGTGCTGGGTCGAACCGAGTGCTGGGTTCGGTGGAACCCAGTGCTGGGTTCGGTGGAACCCAGTGCTGGGTTCGGTGGAACCCAGTGCTGGGTTCCATCAAACCCAGGGCTGGGTTCGCTGGAACCCAACCCAGCTGGGTTCGACGGAACCCAGAGCTGGGTTCGACGGAACCCAGAGCTGGGTTCGACGGAACCCAGATCTGGGTTCCATCGAACCCAGTGCTGGGTTCGACGGAACCCAACACTGGGTTACACCGAACCCAGAACCCAGCACTTTTTTTTTTTTGTGTTTATATGATTGTTTGCCAAGAGATTATTCAAATTGCAGGTTGTTGCGAGTGGTGGAACGGTGAATTGAGTTGGGTTCGATGGAACCTATTTGCTGGATTATAAATCTGGGTTCCGTAGAACTTCCGATGAACTTCCGATGAGCAAAGAGCAATTGTTAGTGGTAATGTGAGACCCATTTAGATGGATTTGGTGTGTTTTCGCCAGGTAGCATGTGACATGGTAAAATTTTATCCATGGCATCACTTTTTTAAGTTTTACTCTTCACATCATCAAACAAAAATATAAAAAATGCCACCTAAGCAGAGTTAACGGTCCAAATTAACAGAGGGACTAACGGAGTGCATTTCGTATAGTTGAGGGATCAAAAAGTGTAAAAAATTGTTAAGGGATCAAAAATGTTCATTTCTTAAAGTTGAGGGACCAAATTAAGCATTTAACCAAAAAATAAAAAAAAAAAACAACTTTAAAGTAGTCGGCGATAAAAAAAAAAGAAAACCTTAACGTCGTCGGCAAAAAAAGAAAAAAGAAAAAACTTTAAAATAGTCGGCAAAATAAAAAAAACATCCTTAACGTTGTCGAAAGGAAAAAACATGTTTAACATAATTCATTTACTTTATAATTGAATTAAAGTTCTTACCCCAATGTCGACTTTTATTTTTTATTTTTAAATAAAATTTTAAATTTAAATTTTATAAATAAAAAAATAAATATTAT